TTGAATCGGGCACTCCTAAGCCTTAAGAGGGGGTAACCTTTTCCCCTCTTCCTAATTTTGTTACCGTCAAAGGCTTATTTGCTCCTAGCAGGCGCAAGGCTACGAGATAGCGAAGTTTACTAGATATAGTCCTGAGGTCGAATGCTCATTTGCTCCTTTCTTGGCTGTAGCAGGGTTAGGGCCTTCGGGACCCCCCCCCCCCCCACCGCTTGAATTTCCCTGCGGTGATCCGAGCTCACTAGCTGCCGCTCCAACTATTACTGATGTTTTGGCCGTCAGCCGGATAGCTACGAGTATACTCGAGCACCGTGGGATCGAGGGGTGGGTCCTTGGGTGTATTATTGCTTAATGAACTCGAGCTATCAACAGCCCCGGTGCTAGTCATTTCCCCCCCATATTCCTATGAGCGCCTGACCCGGGAGTTGCAAAATTGTCTGATACGGAATGAACCCCAGGCAAGTGCCTGGCCACATTGAAAGCGGGGACACCCCCGCCTGGACCTTCAATGCCCGCAATCTTACACTCTACAGAGGCGTCGTCGTAACGCATTGGGGTTGGGTAAGGTCGCGAAACTCCCCGACGGTGTCATCCGGCTCTGACGAGCTCCAAAAACAGGCTTATCAAGCCTCAATGTTATCCCATAGCACTAGGCATCTGGCTAGCAGAGGTAAGGTTGATGACTACCGTTTGGGGAAAAAGTACACGCTGTTTGCCGGGTGAGTCAAATTGGACAAGTACTTGTGTACCATGGATTAGGGGGTGAGACGTATATTGCTTGTGCATATCCATCGCATCTGGATTTAGAGTTCCTGCCTTGGGACTGGGTCCAAGACCCTGCCTTTACTGCGCCTCAAGACAAACCACGGCCTAGTTATCTCTCTCTTCGTAGGTTCCGGTGAGCATAGCGGAAGGGTACTTTTTTTTATCAAAGCAGAGGGGAAAGCAATAAAAAAAAACACGCCGCGCCTAAACTCCGGAGTGTGTATCCAGTGGGATTCGTATTGAAGACGCATACCGGACTTCTCCCGGAGCTGTTCATCGCATACCGGCACCCATCTGATGTTTAGTATGCTGAACCTCCCCCATGTGGAGCCCTAGCACCGGGTCGTGGCGCCCCGCTTCGCTTACCCGTCGGGGAAGGAAAAAGAGAGGGACTTGATGGAGTGAAGGGATGAACTCCTCAAATCGTATCTCCCGGGCCGCATTCTGGCCAATTGGGATGACACAAATACCCTGTGTACCCTATAAGATGAGTGATAATTTCAGGATCTCCCATCCACCCTCCTCCGCTTTACTCGTACTGTACATCACCCACGATGCGTATTTCGAGCCTTCATCCTCGGTAAACTGCCGGTAATTTCCAAATCTGTGACGACGGCCGCACTCAAACGGCAATGGCCTCAACTACCCTTTCATTCGCCACACCTCCCCATTTTTGAAAACCTATCCCAAAAGTCCCTCCGTTATGCAGTATGAGAATTGCAAAAAAAAGGGATTTGGCCGGCTGTCAGAGGATCGATTTCTCCTTTCCCCCACATGTCCAATCTAAGCGGGTTCGTACAGCAAAGGTCGGCCCTCTCGCAACAATATTAGCCAAATGCTAATGTACTCGTAGACAAGTGTGGGGGTTCTCGAAAATTCAGCTCTTTTTTTTCTTCGACCCCATCCACACACGTAGGCACGGATACTGTGGCGGAAACCGAAAATCCCTTTACAAAATACCCCTACCAAAGGACAACGGCCAACCGTTTTGGATAGAATACCACAAGGGAACTGGGGGAGTGTGTCGTTAACACCCGTTATCTCTTTCCCACCAAGTAAGGATAGCGCTCATTCAAATCGGGACCAATAACGGGATGGAGGGGAGGAGAAGGAAAAGGAAAGCAAAAAAAAGCACGCTAGTAAGAAGGAAAGAAGAGACAAGAGGGGAAAAAAAATTTATTGAACCTTCCCTCTCGATGTCATCATAACTGGTACCGGTATCTCCCGTTGCTGCAAAGGTGGCCTCAGCTGTAGGAATCATCAGGAAACTATCCAGTCAAAGGCTAAACACTTTGTTTACTATACCGGTGCTTTGGTACCGTATATGCCAACTTTAGAATATATATCACCTTCAAAGTTAATCGGCCGTTAGGTCATATACCGCAATAGTAATCCAGCGCTGTCCAAAAGCACTAGATTCCATCAATAACTGCAACAGGGCTTCCCACCATGACCACCCCCGGCATCGTTCATGTCATGTATAGCGTAGCGCGGAGTTGGCGGACTCTGGAAAAATAATATCAGCCCGTGAATCAGGGAGTGACATATCAAAGTTGTGACAAGATGGCCGTCTTACGTCGGCAACGGAGTGAGTTCATAGGCCCGGCCGCGATTCCATCATCAGAGCCGTGCGGAAAAGGCGGGGGTAGTCAATCGCAATCGACGATTGAGCTGAAACCACGAAGAAGTACGAGTTAACCAATGCTGGTTCGAGCTGCCGAGGTACCCCTACGGCATCGTGAGGAAACAATATCAGGGAGGGGGGGGGGATGGGGCGGGTATCGTGCTCAATGCCATTATGCTACTACTCCCTCTTTCGTTCTTGTGCATCAGCCATCGTTTGAAACGGCCAATTGAGAAAGCAAGTATAGGAGAGCTAGTGAGCTCGATCCCGGAGATACCTCTTCCCTATTAAGTTTTCATTCGATCACAGGACCGACTGATAGGTAATGGCTATGGACTTTTTTACTCCAAACTCTCAGGGTAAAATATGAAAAAATGGAAAAAATGGAGCAAAAGACAAAGCAAACTTGCGATAGAGATAGCTCGATCTTCCGCCTTCGTCCCACGAGGGATGCATGTATGCATGCAAGTTCAGGGGGGGAACAGGTTTCTCGCATTTCCTCCCTTGCATCTAGCCCTGAAGCCACCCAAACGGCATTTGCAGACTGATAGGACCGGATCTCCTTCAGAGGAGACACAGAGCCGCCTCGCTGAGCCAGAAATACGGATACACAGAATCCAGCGTGATAGACGGCTGACGGTTTCTTGTAAGCAGCCCAGAAAGCCGCCAAACATGGCGCACGCACCAGTGATAGCCGTCCATTCCTCCTCAAGGCTGCTAATGCTGAACAAGAGAGACGGTACTCGAGTAAACAGAAAAAGTGGATACCGTGGTCGGAAAACCGAAATCGTTCCACGCACATCCACAGGGCTCCTCAACACGCGTCCAATAAAAGCAAGACCGCACAATTTTTTTTTTCCTACTGTAGCCCTCCCTATCCCATGGTCCGTCACTGCATCCAAGTGATGGGTGGGGTAGGGTCTCAGTTTGAAACTCGAGCAATTCATTGGCAACCAAGGGTACTTTTCAGATCCCATTATTTCCTAAACAAGATCCCGCAGACGCAGCACACCACGAGCTGAGAGCACGAGTGCCGGTACGGTAGTGACGAGATCACACCTCAGACTCGAGGTTAGGTTACTCGCACGGTATGATACGACGAAAGGACAATTTATACTTTATGGTATCTGTCCTTATCGCTTTGCTTTGAGGTGTGGGTTTGATAGCCTTGAAAATAGCTGCCCCCCCACACGCAGCTGTTAAAGCCACCCGGCGACCTGTGTGACGATCGGAGCAATATAGACGCAATCCGGAGGCAACCAGGAAGACCACTGTACCCAGCAGGTAACTACCGTACGAGACTCGCCTTGGGGGAATCTTCCGAAAGTCCCTATTCGCATACTTTGCGACGGAAGCGAGGGCCGGACTAGGGTGGCGGTTGGGCGGTGGAGCTTTTTCATACTTGCTCGCTCTTCCTTGGTCACCTGCATGCTCGCCCACGACCTCCATCTCTAAAACCGCCCTTCTCTATCTTGCATGAGCAGACAATTCGGAGTAATTGAGCCTCCGGGATGAAACCCTCGGGGCGGAACTCGCTACACGCGCATTTCCATGAACCAGAAGACAATGGATTTAATCCATGCAATTCTACTGATGCTTGAAGCCATGGCTGCTGAGCCTTCACAGGGGCAGGGACAAGAGAAAACGAAACCCTCCAGGCAGTCGGCAGATTCCCATGCGCGGAGGTCAAGCCATATAGAACTGCGCCCAAGGACAGGAAAGCCATTCCAAAAAAGGAAAAATGGTATTTTGGCGATCTTTTGTCCTTCTTCTTTCTCATGGAGGAGTTTAATAAAGTACCGTACGAGGATAAAAACAAGAGAGTATGATACGAGTATTGTTCGAGGGCACAACGGATGTTATCGGAGGTTGTGCCCCCCACGAACGGGAGTCTTGGAGTCAATTCCGGCAAGCGGGTAACTTACTCGTGGACACGGCACCCAACCCTCTCAAAACCTGTCTCGATGGGCGAGTTTACAATGCTTGGCACCAAAGGAGCGAACTTCCGATAAATATCTACATAGATTGTGAAAAGCTCGCCTGATGGACCGGATCACTAATAAGTTGATGGACTCTCAACCACGAGAATTGAGAAGAGGCAAAAATAAAAACGGGACAGTTGGAAATTAAAGACGTGAATATATCATGCCATATATTGAGAAAGTCGCTCAAAACGGATCCCACTTGCCGGCCCACGAATCACGAGTATTGTACAGTACAGCACCATGCAGAATTCCGGCGGGGCCTCAAACCACGCTGCATCGATGCTATGATACCTGATAGCCTTCTCATTCTGCCCCTCTACAACGTCCTCAGAGCGGTTGCCGTGCCGTAACGCCGACCAGCCTAGGCACTATTGCGTCTAGCGAGGAGGAGACATACCGGTATGTCAAGCACCAGTCTCTCGATCATCAACATGCTAGTGGCTCAGGCCACACTCGTACCCGAACACAGTGCATTTCAATCTTGGTCCCCCTTAAAACCATGGTCCGAACCCTGCCACGCCCGGCAAAAACCCCCGAATATCGCAACTGCCTAAGCAACCCCCACCCATGCGACGCGGTCCATGTGTACATCATATCATACCCAGTCAGTGAATTGTACTCGTGCTCTTAACGCAACTCCCTCGCAAATGCCGAGAGGGATACGAGACCGGGATAACATATGTCGTCCTCCCCTCTCAAAATGTCGGGGGCCTCTTCCTCCTTCGAAACACTCCACCGCACGCACCTCACCCACGCAGTCCAGCAATCACGGTTCCTATTCCAGTGCACCCGATCTCCGCCTCAGATATTGTACGGGGTCCCTCCGGGATAGGATTGCCGTGTAGTATCGGTGCCCCACTCGAAACTTTTCCAAAGAAAGATATTTCATCCCCAGAGGCTGAGGAACGGGGCCTGAGATTCCAAGTTTACAAGACACGCAGATTTACAAGAACCCGGTTTCAGCGTGCGCACTCGTGGTAAGTGCAATGCGATCAGGCTCCTTCATCTCCGCTCCTCGAATTGTACCGTACATCTTTCCTCCCCCCTCGGTCCCAGCCACATCCTGTACCGCGCTTTAATAGGAAAAAGAGTCCTCGCCATCGCACACCACTGGCTTGAGGAACAGTCCTACCTCAGATGCCATACTGTGCAGTGCATCTAGCAGTGTAACGTCTTGTCCGGCAGATGTACCCGTACGTTCGAGTCAAGAGGCCAGGAGGGGGAGCAAAAAAATGGTGGGAACTTTAGAACACTCTACTCCACAGTGCAAGTATTGTGCGCGGAACACGCATATGGGCTACGGGCACAAATACCACCAAATTGCGTCAGGAACTTTCACGACGTGGCCAACAAGTCTCCGCACCGCACTTTGCAGACCCTTCCGCATACAAGTATCATTATAGTCTAGCGATCGGTTGGGGAAGAAGGCTAACCCCGACTAGTACCCGTGCTCTAGTATCTTAGTCACGGAACCCCAAGAAAGTCTCGGCATTCTTACCACAAAGTCTCACTCGCGCGGAGCTGAGCTTATCCACCTTTCCCCTGTCCGCGATAACGGTAGTAGGATAGGGATGAATAATTAGGCTGCCGGTCTCACAGCTGGATTTGAAAAACGCCGGTACCGAGGTGGGGTCAACCTGCGTGGTACAGTACCGTACCTTTTTATTTATTTTTTATGTTACGATTTATCCATTCGATATCTCTCATTCATGTGCCCTAATCGGTATCTACACTCGTACTTGTATCCCCGCAAATGCAGGGGATTGGAGTGGGTGGGTGGGAGGAGGGTTTAAAGGAAGTGTGGTAGCATCCTGACTGCACTCAGCTACGGTAACCGGGGGATGACGGTATGGTACTGTACTGCTTGCATCGTTGGCGCAAGAGGAAGAAGGTCAGAAAGAAGGTGAAGAGGGAAAACCACTGGTAGAGTACTATATGGGATGATCCGTCGGTTGGGATGAAAGGGGAAGGAGAAATAATGTCAAAAAGGGGAATCGAAGTAGCTAGCTAAATTAGCTTTGCCGGAAAAAACATCCATGACTACAGCACCGTACAGTACAGTACACTTTTGACAAAATAAAAATAATAATGATGATAATAATAATGCTGATGCTGTCATGATTGAGGGTATGATACCCTGCTACATACCAGTATCATGCCTGCGCTGCGAGCTATAGCGTCCTCAACCCGAACCGCCACTGCACGAGTACTCGTACCGTACTGTACCCACATTGAAGGGCCGGAGAAAACGCCGCGAGTCCCCGAAAATGGACAAATAAACACGGCGATCCCGACAAAACCAAATCTGACTCTGGTTTTTTTTTTGTGTCCAGCACAATCCAAGGAAGGTGCCATACATATTATACTTGTACCTACGGAGGCACATGTTGTAATAGGGAAGCCCAAAGCAAAAAAAAAAAAAAAAAAACTACTCAAATACATAACAAGGCTGAGAAGTCCGGCAAGCAAGCAGGTAGGTATGATAGGTAGGTAGGCAGGTAGATAGGCTGGCTACAGGTCCCGTCCCATCCATCCATCCATCCACCCAACAAGCCCGCATGTCCCTGGATCGCCACGTTTTCCCCACAACCATGTCTGGTGGTGGTAACTCTCGCCCTTCTCCGCCTCCGACAACATCAGTAACAAATCAAAATTCAGTAGACGGCATAAAAAGAGGGGGGAGGAGGAAGAAAAAAAAAGAGACAGCCATCACCCATACGAGTGAGTGAGTGCCCGCCCCCTCTTCTCATCGGCATTCGACATCGCCTTCTCCGACTGGCGTGGAAGAAATGGGGAAGAAGGGAAAAAAGAAAAATAATAATCCATTGCATACGATTAGGTGCATGGTTCCGATCCTGTTGACGAATTAACGGGATGTTGGCTAGGAGCTCCGTCAGCGTGCGGTTTACGGTGTTGTACGGTGCGAGGTAGAAGAAGGTGAGGGATGGAATGGTGATTGTATTGTACGAGTACTTTGTATCGGGAGAAGAAAAAGAAGAACTTGGATTCTTGCCTTTTTTTGAATTTTTTTGAAAATTAATGATGATAGTGGTATTATATTTATATTTATCGAGAAGAAAGAAGAATGAAGAGAAATTATACCAGTACGGTACGGTACGGTGTCGCAGCGTACAGTACAGTACCGTCCGCTGTTGAAGGCCAATTACACTAAGTTACCACAGCCGGCATCCCAGCTATGATATCACACAAAAGAATGAACAGAAAATGAGGGAGAGAATCCAACCAGAACCAGTTTTGGCTCTTTCCTTTTTTTCCTTCCTTCTCCCATTCCCTCTTTCACCACCAAGTGAACCGGGCGAACCATCCCACCCAATCACCAAAACAAATCCCGTACCGTACGGTACAGCACTCGCATAAACACCAGTCATCCCCCACGGAAAACCCCTTAAAACAGCGCCTATCGCGCCAACAGCAGTAAGATGATGATGATGAGGATGACCGACTGACAGATAGACAAGGGTACTGATTCGCATGGCGCATCTGCCGAGCTCGTGCCCACCCAGCAAAGCAAGCAAGCAAGCTCTCTGCTCTTCTCTTGCTGATTACCTATGCCTTGCCTTGCCGTTCTCGTGGCTACAGCAACCGCACGGTTCATAGGGTACCGTAGCCGTCCCCCGATGAGGGTACCGGTACCGGTATGGTAAGTTACGGGGCCATAAAGTACGAAAAAAAAAAGGGTTGAGGGGGAATGGGAGCCGGCAGTTTTAGAGTTTTTTTTCTTTTCTTTTTTCTCTTCTTTCCTTCTCTGGTTCCTGTCTTTGGGGTTGCAAGTGCCGCACCGTGGCATGGAGCACTGTTGCTGTATGATACCGTCCCGGTACCGTTTGATGGATGGATGGATGGATGGAAGGGAAGGGGTCTCGCTTACTCGGTAGGGTAAGGTGGGTTGAATAGATGGATGAATAGATAAATAGGATTGATCGAGTTGATGGTACAAGTATGATTGATATAAATGTGTGTTGTGTGATATGGTGGGTGAAATGGTTGAGGGGTGCGGCGGGTACTGTCCTATTCCCGAGTACCCAGTTCCGACTCCGAATGCAATCTATAATGCACTCCACAATAACGTTCCGCAACAAAGTGCCTTCTCTACGGTAGACTAACCTCACGATGATCAGCGAATCAACTCAACCAGCCACTACGGTACTCCTCGTATCCCATCACCCTAGCCGAGTATCATCATACCACCACATATAAAACTTGACGTTAATAACGTACGGTATCATATTATCCCACTCTTCCATGTCTCTCTTTCTCTCTCTCTCTCTCTCTCTCTCTCTCTCTCTCTCT